GGAGCTCAAAGAGGCTTTGTAAGTGGTGGAAGTTGTCTGTATCTTGATTAGTGAAATGGTAACATGGATGTATATATATTTGTCAAACTCATTGAACTTCAACTTTTCAAGTCTTCTTCATGTCCTATTGATTATTCCTTAATATAGTGATTTTTTTTAAAAAGATTTTTTTCTATTACTTGTGTGTATAGGTGTGTGTAATGTGTGCATGTGTGTTCAGGTACCCACAGAGGCCAGAGGGCTGTTCTATTTTATGAGCTGCCTGTCAGGGGTGCTGGAAATTGCAGCAAGCACTGTTCACCACCACTGAGCCATCTCTTCAGCTCTAACATGGTTGGTTGAAAAAAGAAATCAGTCATGGTGGAGCATGCTTTTAAATTCCAGCACTCAGGAAGCAAGGGCAGGAGGATCTTTGTGAGTTCAAGGCCAGACTGGTACATATAGTGAGTTCCAGGACACTCAGGGAGTGGATTCTCATTGTATGTGAGAATGAATGCTTAAATGAAACAGAAAAATACACTCTCCATGCAATTAAATTAAACAGTGGTACAAATTGGAATTTTCTGTGTTTAGGCTGTGTGGGAAGTAGCCTGTGTATCTGAGTGCACAGGTATGTTGTAGTTCACTTTTAGTCCATTGCCTTTATAAACTAGGTAATCTATAAAGACAGGATTACTTGAGGTGGCACAGTCCATAAATGTGGTCCTTGCGTCTGCTAATTATTTGGTGAGATGTCACTCTGTGTTGTAACATGACAGAGGCGTCGCACAGTGTGATGGCTTGAATAAGATGTCCCCTTAGTCTTGGGCGTTTGAATGGATGGTCTCCAGTTGGTGCTGCTATTTGGGGACGCTTAGGTGGCAGGGCATTGCTGGAAGGAGTATGTAACTGGGGGTAGGATTTGAGGTTTAAAAACCCAGGCCTTTCCTAGTGCCCTGCTCCCTGATGGTTCAAGATGTGAGCTCTTAGTTTCCACCTCCAGCAGTCATGCCTCCGCTCTGCCATCATGGACACCCCCCACTCTAACCACAAGCCCAAATAAACTCTTCTTAAGCTGACTTGGTCGTGGTGTTATCGCAGCCATAGAAAGGTAACTAATACATGTTAAGTCAGCAAGTGTGCTAGCATAGCATATCTCTTAAGGAGTCATTGATGTGATCAGGAAAACCCCGCCCTCATGTCTAATGTCTCAGAACCCTGTCATCATACTGTTAGTGTGCAAATATGAAGGTTACATTTCAACACATGGACTTTTGGTGAATGTTTTAAGCTGTAACACACAAACATATATGTAGATATATGTATGTACATATTTTATCCTGACAATTCTCATATCCAGAGAATATAGGAAACTTTTACTAGCAGGGCAGAGATGTGAATATCCATGCTGAGAAGAGGATGTGCAAGCAGTGAGCTCAGGAAAGGTACTCTGCAGGGCTCTTCTCAGAAGAATGCAGATTAGACTCCTTATGCAGTACTAACCCACAGGCTGGCAAAAATAGAGCACCGAGTGGTGGGGAATCTGGAGCGACTGTTGTCCTCCTACATGGAGAGGCTGCAGGTGGGAGTGTAGTTTGATAACCAGCTTGAAAAGCTGGCAGCATGCCCATGTCTTATGACTCACAGTTTCTCTAGATACTATTCTGTGGTGTGCGTGTGCCTAGGTAAGTCGTCAAGAATATCAGCTTATTTCTAAATAGCCACAGAATAGAATGTCTCTAGCTATCTATAAATAACAGAATGGTTAAATTATTTTAAAACCAAACAATAGAATACAAAAAAATGAGAAGGAACACACAGAGATAAGTTTCACAGAATGATCATGAATGATTATAGTCAAAAAGCATAAAACTCCATTTATGTAAAATTCAAAACTAGACCAACTATAGTAGCAAATGCCTATACTCCCAGCATTTGAGAAACAGGCAGTAGGCTGGAGAGTTCAAGGCCATTTTGGGCTTTAAAGTAAGATGCTGCCGCAGCCCACCAAAAAGCAAGTAGTATAAAATGATTTTTGATAGAACCAAACAGGACTGGCAAAAACAAAACGAAACAAAATTTAAAAAAAAAAAAAACAATGAAATGATTCCTAATGATGCTCTGCTATACTCATAGATCAGCACCTAGCTCAATTGTCAGCAGAGACTCACAGTCAAACATTAGGTGGAGCCAGGGGAATCCTACAGGAGAGGAGGAGGAAGGATTATAGGAGCCAGAGGGGTTGAGGATACCACAAGAACTTGACCCACAGAATCAACTTAGCTCACAGAGACCGAAGTGAAAGTCATGACCTCTGTATGGGTCTGAGCTAGGTCTGCTATATATGTATATTATGATTGTGTAGCATGGTGTTCTTGCGGGACTCTGGGAATGGGGTGTCTCTGACTTCTACCTGCTCTTGGGGCCCTTTTCCCCCAACTTGGTCTCCTCGTCCAGCCTTAATATGTCTGGTCTTACTATAATTTGTTGTGCCATGTTTGGTTGATTGCCCTGGAGGTATTCTTTTCTGAAGTGAAATGGAGGAGGAATGGATCTGGGGAACAAGGAGATGGGGTTGCCCCTGAGAGGAGTAGAGGGAGGGGAAACTGATTGGGATGTAATATATGAGAGAATTAAAAAGAAAAAAGTGATTTTTGTTAAAGTATTAGAAACCAAGATTGTGGTTACTTTTGGGGAAGGAATTGGTTCAGGACACAGTTGGACTTCCCACAGCCCACTTCTTAAGTACAACTAGATTACTAGGATGCTTCCTTACACTCAGGGAACCTCCTGTGTTCACTTACTCAACACCAAAGTTATAGCCACGCATACCAATGAAGTTATGAGCAGGGCAAATCCTGTGGAGACAGTCTGTTACTTCAACATGGCCATTAGACACACCATCCTCAGGTCTCCATATGCTACCTAAAACTGTTAGATCCTTTCATGGAGTCTTACAGGTGTGAGTGAAACGTGGGAAACTATGCAAATGTCATGGACACAGAGGCTGAGGTCTTAGCTCAGTTCCTGGCACACAGATAGCAAATAACAATGACTAAAAGGCTAAACCTGATCCCTTTGGGGCCAGTTTGCCTCTGTATCCCTGAAAAGCAAATGCCCATCTGTGTGGGCTGTGCTCAGTTGTAGAAGACATGAAATCCTCCCTGTGGGCACTGACATCAGTTTTGTTTCCTGTTTGTGGATTCGCTCTTCTTCCTATATGGTCTCAATTGGATTGGGCGGAGCTGGGAGTCCATTTCATTTGAATCTTCTTGCGTAACATTGTCTGTGGTATTTTCTGCTTATATATAACCACCTGAAGTAGGTTCGATGTCTTAGAGACTAGTCAGCCTTAGAGGAGATCCATAGAAATCTGAAAAATAAGACTAAGCAGGCTTTATGGTTTTGCTTTTGTTACTGTGGACTATTATTATTATTTAAACCTAGACACAACAGCCTATCAAAAGTATGTTTTAACTTGGTGTGATGGTGCAAGCCTGTAATGCTAGCTCTTGGGAAGTCAAAGGAGGAACACCGAGCTCAAAGCTAGCCTGGGCTACATAGTGAGCCCTTCTGTTGTAAAACAAGGGCCAGTGAGCTGACCCAATGAGTGAAAACGCGTGCTGCCAAGCCCCACCCCATAGTGTGACCCTGGGACCACCTGGTAGGAGGAGAGAACCAGCTCCTCCATGTTGTCCTCAACCACGTGTACACCATGGCATGCTCGCATGCTCCTGCTGATTGGTGCAAATGTGCACACAAAATAAATAATTCACTAACTAATTAAAAATAAGCCATAACCTCCCCTAAACTATCCTTTTTTTCTTTAGCTTTATCTTTTTTACAAGAAATGAAAACTATAAATATCAGTGCTTGGGATGTATCATCTCATTTAAATTTATTAAAACATCGAGCAGTAAAAAAAATGAAATAAAAGTAGAAAGAACTGCTTGATAAGAGCACAGCAAGATCCTCTGCCAACTATTTAGAATACTTCCAGCCATAGTTTTGTCAGAGAAAGGCACAGAGGTCCCTATTCTGAGCTAAATAAGAGATGAACCATTGACCTAAGAGTGCCCAGGTTTTTATTTAAGTTCTCTTCTAGTTGCATAATGCAACACTGCCTTTCCCAAATGAGAAGCATATATGTGTGCCTTAGATTTCTTGTAGGTCTTGTGTCTTCGTTGACCTATCCTGTGACTAGGATATGAACGTAAAATGCAGGATGTTGGAACTGGGAGAAGTCATTGTTGTTGCTAATAAGACCCAACCAGCTACTCACATGCTCTTGCGGCTGCTTCGGTGCTTCTCCTGGCCCACCCAGTACAATTATATGTAACTTATGGGGCAAGGATTGTTAGGGTATGTGAATAGATCTGTCTATGCAGCTAGGTTTTTTGTTTCATGTTGCAGAGCAGCACAGATACTGAACCAACAACCAGGGAGCCTGCATGGGACTAACCTAGGCCCTCTGCATGTGTGTTACAGTGTGAACTTGGTCTTCTGTGGGAGTCCCAACAGTGGAAACAGAGGCTGTTTCACTCTTTTGCCAGCTTCTGGAACCCCATTCCTCATACTGGGTCACCTTGCCCAGCCTTAATATGAGGGGAGGTGCTTGGTCTACTGCAACTTGATATGCCACGATTGGTTGATATCCATGGGGGACCTGTTCTTTTCTGAAGGGAAACGGGGGTGGAGGGCTAGGAGGGGAGGAAGGAGAAACTGCAGTAGGGATGTAAATAATGATAATAAATCATTTAAAAATCATAACCTCATCTTAAACTGTATGTACACACAGTTATTCATTTTCATTATATTTACTTATATACAAAATGTATTGGGAAAATAAGAATGCAGAGTAATTCAGTCTTACTCCGTGAACTGGTTTATGTAAAAATTGGGGTGGCCATGTTTAATGAGAGTCACCTGGAGGCTGCCACTTGTCTCGTCTGTAGAATAAAGAGGTTTTCAAGTCTGGGATTTTCAAAACTCCACGTCTCTGTTTGATTTGTATTTTTCAGCTGAGAGAAGAGAAGTTACAGGAAGAAAAAACTTGTGAAGATAAGATCCACAAGGTACTGCAGGAGGATTCAGAAATGGGAAAAAGGAAAGCGGATGAACAGAAAACAAGAGATGAGCCAGTGGTGCTGAAAACAAGTCTGGAGCAGGTCAGTGGGCACCTGGGTGGACATCTGCCCAGTCTGCCGTCCAGCCAGGGAAGTGGGTCTGAGAGCTCTGTGCAGCCTAGGAGTAGGGAAGCGCTTCCCATCCAGATGGAGATGGAGGAAGCAGTTTTGAATGGGGCAGTGACAGCCTGGGTCAGTGTGCTACACGTGATAAGATTTGTATGAATACCATCATACTGACATATGTGCTGGTTTTTGCATTAAACTTTATACATCTTAACATCTTCAATTAGATTTTTTAAGGTTTATTTATTATGTGTACAGTATTCTGCCAGCATGTATGTCTGCAGGCCAGAAGAGGGCACCAGATCTTATTGATGTTTTTGATCAGCCTCCATGTGGTTGCTGGGAATCGAACTCAAGACCTCTGGAAGAGCAGCCAGTGCTGTCAGCCCCTGAGCCATCTCTCCAGCCCTCAAGCATCTCTCTAGCCCTCGCATTTCTTTTAAGCTGTATTTTACTTTCCTTTAGCCTCTGTAATCCCTTGAGCAGAACTATGCTTAGGTATAAGTACATCTTCAGCCAGGCATGGTGGCACATGCCTTTAATCCCATCACTCTGGAGGCAGAGGCAGGAAGGTCTCTGATTTTGAGGCCAGCCTGGTCTACAAATCTTGACCCAGGATAGCCAGGGTGGTTACACAGAGAAAACCCTGTCTTGAAAAACAGTAACAAAAAATACATTCTCCAATATTAGATGAGTAGTCTAAGCTTACCCAGTTAGGCACATGATTGAGCCAACTCTTGCTTGAACATTTCCATTACTGTTTTTTGTTACTTATTTGTATGTGTATAAGCAATGCATACCTTGACACAAATGTACAAATATGGCAGTCAAAAGATAAGCTGTGAGAGTTATTCTTCTCTTTCCATCACGTGGGTCCTCGGGTTTGAATTCAAATCCCACCAAGCTATCTGACTGTACCAAGAAAGTACTTATATTCCCATAGAAAAATAGGAGTTTAATGTCAATTCTAGTTACAGTGGTTTGAACATCTAATGATTGCTGAATATTTTTGAGTCATATCTTTTAAGTATTTTTATATAGCCTTGTTAAAATTTCAGGTTATTTTTTTAAATGGGTTGAAATTAATGAAGCCTTAACATATGTTAAGATAGGCAACATAAGAGAGTAGGAGAATGAGGGAGTGCTGGAGAGATTGCTGATCTTGTAGAGGAACTGGGTTCGATTCCCAGCACCCACATGTTGGCTCACGGTATCCTATAACTCCAGTTCCTGAGGATTTGATGCCCTTCTCTGGCTTCCATAGGAACCAGGCATGCATGTGGAGTGTGTGGGGGAGTGCAGGGGTGTGGGGGAGAGAGCAAGAGAGACACTGAAAACAGCTCTCCATAGCCAGCATTGCAGCTCCCTGCACTCTGGTCAAGTTTTTTCCTGTCTACCTTCTGATTTAGTTTGTATAAGGTATTTTTCCTTAGTTTCAGAAACAGACGTTTTTAACGCTGTCTTGGGTCAGTGTGTTTGCTGACTGTCATATGCAGATGACATATGATTTTGGTTGTAGTCTTAGTCATCATCATTATTATTAAAAGTAATCACTTGGAAACAGACCGTGAGGACACACATCTGTAACAGCAGCACTTGGGAAAGTGAGGCAGGAGATTTGCAGTTAAACTGTCCTGAGCTGTGTAGTGAGTTCTAGGCCTGCCTGGGGTATATTATATATGTAGCAAGACTCTTCCTCAGAACAATAAGAATAAAACAAAGGCACTTGAATTTTACAAATTTTCAGTCCTGGGAAAGATTCCATTTACAAGCATAAAATGCTATGTGCTGTCAATGGAATGCACCCCAGGAGCTTTGAAAGACCCACTGCTTGTAAGGGTACACGTGCTTTAGCTTAGGAAGCAATAGGATGCATGCTGGTTTGACTGCAACCCCAGCTATGCCTCTTTCCAGTCGTAGTATCCTCAAACAAACAGTCCCAAACCTAGATTTCCTCCAGGAACAGGTCTCTAATACTGATTTTATGTCACAGCTGGGCATCGTAATTATTTTGCTTGTAGCACTACTGTTTTTGAAATAGAAATCAGTTAAACCAGCACAGTTCACTTCTCTAAAGGAATCAGAAAATGCAGATCTTCAGATTCCCTTATTGTCAGTAGCCAGGTTCACAACATTGTCAATGCAAAGCACAGTGAGTAACATCCAACTTGTTTTGGATTTTTATAATCCTGCCCTTTTCTACCCTCCTATTTCCTTGTACATTTTTGAGGACTTTTAAATGGCTTTAATAGTTTTTAGACTAATGCAGGCTTGTGCTCCCAACTACTTGAGAGACTGAAGTCAGAAGATTGCAACTTCAATGTTAGCTTGGGCAACTCAGTGAAACTGTCTAAAATAAAAATTCCTACAAAAGCTAACAGTGGAGTAGAAGAACATTTGACTGGCATGTGCAAAGCCCTGGGTTCAGTCCCTGTACTAGGGCAAAGCAAGTACTTGGTCTTGAACAAACAATCTTATTGTATTAAAATTGGGCCCAAGAGAATCTGAATAGTCTCAATGGAAAGCCAGCCAGTGAACTCTGTATTAAGTGTGTGTCCTGATGAGACAAGTCATTACACTCTCGTACCACCAAACCTCAACGACCCTGCATTTCTTTGAGAACTCTTCAAACAGCACTCAGGTCCTTCCTTAAGCATGATTCTAGCTTGTCTTCCCATCCATGAGTATGCTCCAAGACTCTTGGGAGCAGAACCGTTTGCTGCCAGTGCATACATTCCGCTTCCCTTTTTCTGGTGAGTTTCTTGCTGCTGGAAAGGTTGCTCTGTCTCTCTGGGTCCAGTTTAAAAGCTGTCACCTTCAGACTGGTAGAGATCCTCACTTCATTCATCCTCCTTTCCTCATTTCACCCTCAATACTTAGTGACTGCTACAAGATTCCATGCTCCTATTATAGATTGTTTGTTGATGTGTTTCTGACCCAGTTAAAAACCCACAATTCCTTGCCCATCACAAGTTTTTTTTAAATACTTATTTATTATGTATACAATATTCTGTCTACGTACATGCCTGAAGAGGGCACCAGACCTCATTACAGATGGTTGTGAACCACCATGTGGTTGCTGGAAATTGAACTCAGGACTTTTGGAAGAGCAGGCAATGCTCTTAACCGCTGAGCCATTTCTCCAGCCCCATCACAAGTTTTTAATGCATGCTCATGAAATTATTAAACTCAGAGAGAAGAACATACTCTAAGAAAGAGATCTGGGCAGTGGTGGAGCACGCCTTTAATCCCAGCACTCTGGAGGCAGAGGCAGGCGGATCTCTGAGTTTGAGACCAGCCTGGTCTACAAGAGCTAGTTCCAGGACAGGCTCCAAAGCCACAGGGAAACCCTGTCTCGAAAATAAATAAATAAATATTTAAAATAAAAACAAAAGGAGAGATTACGACCTATTTTCTGAAATAGAAATAAAATGTTTAAATTGTTGTTTTCTTATAGTACCATTAATCTAATAATGGTGTGAATTGTTGGAAAACAGAACAGTATAGCTAACAGTTACATTAAGGATTACAAATCAGAAGTGAAAGATTATTCTACAACCTAGAGTAACCCCTATAGGCATTTTGGTAATTATCCTAATCTGACCTATTTTCTAAGTGCAATGTGCACATGCATCTGTGCGTGTGCACACATACACACACACCCTTGTGTATGCACTACATGTTCTTTTCATTCAGAAATGTTGATTTGCATGCAAACCGCATTTCAGCTCCTTTTTAGTTCATTATAAATTGTGCCTTTCCCTGTAAATAAAGAATTGATATCTTTCTTCAGTTGTCCCCTAGTACAATTTGAAAATTTTAATCTCCTGTAGATATCTTGCTGTCTTCAACGCTACTGTGGTAAATTACTAAAAGGAGACCAGGTGAAAGTGAGCTTTGAAGCTGTTCTAGCATGTGTGTTGCTCAGTTGTCATCACCCTGGACGGTGTGGTTTAGATGAACTCCTTTCTGTGCTGTATGAAAGCCACACCTGCTTCCCCTGCCCGCACCAGCCTGGGAGGGACGGTGTTTTTAGTGTCACTGCAGACTTTCGTCTCCCTGTGCTCTGCTTGTCTTAGGCTTGTCTATATCCAACACGAAAGATGAGAGGCAGACATTTCCTAGCTAATGTTTCTAGGTTGTGAGCATGGAAGCATGGAGACATGGGTAGCTTTTGTCTGTGTAGATACTTGCCGTTTAGTTTTCATCAGTTAAAAGGAATTTGGTGAATAGTATAAAACTAAGATTTTTTTCTTAATACTATTTAAGTTTCTAAAAGTAAAGTATTTTTTGAGGGCTTGCCTGTTAACTTATTTAATATTTTATCAATTTAGCAGAATCTTTACAGTAGTGAAGTGGTTCTCAACTTTCCTAATTCTGTGACCCTTTAATACAGTTCCTTATGTTGTGGTGACCCCAACCTTAAGATTATTCTCGTTGGTACTGTATAATTTTGCTACTGTTATGAATCATAATGTAAATACATTGGAGACAAAGGTTTGTTAAGGGGGTCAAGACCCACAGATGTAGAGACAGCGAAAGATGAGCCACTGACCCTAGAATGACACTGAGAGGGATGGGGTCCAAATCTTTTACTTGGTACCAAACTGGTTATGAAAAGAGACCAAAGTACATAAAGAGTGCCATTGTTTACTTGTGTTGAGTCTGTCACCTCTCTCCCAGAGTTGGAAGAAAATATCAAATGTAATTTGATAATGGGATTTGATTTGGGATATTTTCAGTTAAAGCCACATTTGCAATTAGTATTTTCAGAAAGCACTTCTAATCAAATTGGAACTCAGAAAAGTGAGAGATTGAACTTTGAAACCATAGCTACGATAAATCCGATGGGAACCCCAATTTTATCTCCCTTGTCTCCTTGCCAGTGTCCTGCACGTCTCTCGGATTCAGAGAATGAAGAACCTTCTAGGGGCCAAATGATACAGACACATCGCTCGGCCTTTGTCTCCAAGAACAGCTCCTACTCCTTAGCTTTCCTGGCAGGGTAAGAGCTGAATTCAGAGTTCTTTCATGTTGGGGTGACAGGGTCTTCGGACAAGTAGCGGGAGTAAAAAGAGATGATATTAATAGATTATAGCTGGATGGTCGTGGCACACGCCTTTAATCCCACTCTCTGGAGGCAGAGGTAGCAGATCTCTGTGAGTTTGAGGCCAGCCTGGTCTACAGAATGAGTTCCAGGACAACCAGGATTGTTATGCAGAGAAACCCTGTCTTGAAAAAGCAAAAAAAAAAAAAAAAAAAAAAAAAAAAAAGACCAAGTAGATTACAGAGAGGTGTGTGTGTAAGGTTAACCTCCATGGTGTTCCTCGGGAGCCATCTACCTTGTTCTTTGAGACAGGGCACCTGATTGGCCTGAAACTTGGCAAGTGGGCTAGGTGAGCCTCAGGAGCCCAGGACCTGCCTGTCCCCACCTTCCTAGCATTAGGATTGCAAGTGGTCTTTGAAATCAAGCTCAGTCTTCTTAGCTCCTGAATTTTTATAGAAAAGTCATATTTACTCATTTCTGACATCCTCTAGGTAGGATTACGTTAATTTCGTATCTGCAGGTATGAACCTTTCTCCTATGGAAGTGATGAGTATCCTTCGGTTTGACAGTATCTGTAGACTCTCCCTCTGGACTGTAAGACTCTTAGAAGGAGTGAGCCTGGGTTGTTTCCTTTCCTTGCCTACATCTAGTTTCAGGAAGTTTTTAAAATCCTGGTCAAGGAATTTCTGGGTCCTTTAGTCTTTGCAGGTCCCGGGGAGGAAAAGAAAGCAGGGTTGGATGGTTGCTTGACCCTGGAGGAATACAGAAGGGCAGGCAGGGGGCAGGCAGGTAGTCGTCATTTGTTCATTTTTTGGACAAATGTTTTGTCCAAATGTAGACGTTTTGGAAGTGATTCATTGCCCTCTTCTGGCCTCCATGGGCACCATGTGTTACACAGGTATACATGCAGGCAAACCACCCACACAAAAAGTTAAGTATAACAAAAAGTATAAAGTCATAATACAAAAGATAAAAATCATGTGTTCTGGAAAACTCTTAAGTCATTGGGACTTAGGTCTTTGGAAACTCTAATGAGTTAGCAAGAGACTACACTTAATTTTGACTACCTAAATAAAAACACAAGAGCATTGTGGTGCATCTTCCTAAATGCTTTTTTTTTTTTTCTTTGTTCCATGGCTGCCTTAGATTGCTTGCAGAGAGATGTGGGTCTGATAGGAAGAACAGGTTTTATTTGTTAGGGAACTGTATACTATACACATCTTCTGAGGGAGGTATAGGGAGGTAAAATACCCCCACTCTCTAAGCCCTGGCAAACAGCCATCTTCTCTGCCTCACCGAGACAGGGTCTGAAAACAAGCCTGAACTAAGTGTCCTGTCTTTCTTATTGGTGTTTGGTTAATAAGTTAACCTGTTTTCTATTATAGCTACCTAAGGGTTGTTTTTCTTGGTGAGTGGCTTAGAATGGTAAGAGACTGTCATCTTTTCCTAAACTCACGTAGGGGCTAATCGTAACTAAATATTCTTTTTATAGGAAGCTAAACACCAAGGTGCAGAGGAGTCAGAGCTGCAGTGACACGGTTCAGGACCGAGTGAAGAGCAGGCTCAGAACAGCTCCACCCAACAGAGCCAAGGTACACCTCAGCCTCAGGCTTACCCAGCAACACACACATAGCTTCCCTTGTACCAGGCAAAGTATGTTAGTTGGACAGGATTAGGATCCTATAGACAGAGATGAAGGAAGAAGGTTCAAATTAGTAGACAGAGTTGGGGGGTATTACACCATTATAGATAGATACCTTTTAAGTAGGTCTCGGTGAGACCCATCTTCAGATTTTAATGTTTCTAATTCCTTAATGTGTGTGTATGTGTTTTAAGCTAGGATTTCCCTATTTTTTTAAGGTACACATTACCCTTCTTCTCCCTTCCTTCCCCATCTTCCCACCATCTAAAGGATTTATATAGAAACAAATACATACATGAGAGAGCTGGAGGGATAGCTCAGCAATGAAGAGCGTTTGTGCTTGCCGAGTACTAGACTCACATCAGTCAGTTGCTTCTCATAATTCTAGCTCCAGGGGATCCAACACCCGCTTCTGGCCTCTGTGGACACCTGCACATGCATGTGCACACATACACACACACACATACACATGATCTTTTATATTTCTTTCAGGTCACAACTATAACTCCAGGGTCCACCCCCATTATTGGTGTTCTCTTGTCCACTCAAAACAACCGCTGCCTCTCAGCTCCTGACTTAACCATAGAAAAGCGCCTGCCCTTCAGCTCCCTTTCATCCTTGACTTTGCATAAGCCAGAGCGCTCTATCAGCCCTGAAAGCAACGACAGCATCTCTGAAGAACTAAACCACTTCAAGCCCATTGTCTGCTCACCATGCACCCCTCCCAAAAGACTCCCTGACGGCCGTGTGCTAAGTCCTCTCATCATCAAGTCAACACCTCGTAACCTGAACCGAAGCCTGCAGAAGCAGACTTCCTACGAGGCTAGTCCACGGATCCTCAAGAAGTGGGAACAGATCTTCCAGGAACGGCAGATCAAGAAGACCCTTTCCAAAGCCACTCTCACCTCCCTGGCCCCTGAAGGAGGGGAGGAGTTACCAGGCTCTGAAGCTATTCATTCTAGCAAGGAGAGGCTGCCTCTGGCTCTAAGTACAAAACTGTCTAGGGCCCAAGTGCTCTCAGAGTGTGCTGGGCCCACATCTACTACCCTTGAATATTTCCCTTCTGTTAACCAGACAAAAGCAGAACAGGACTGTGTTAGAAAAAGGAGCCACGAGGTTCCAGTGGAATCCTGCCATTCCTCAGAGTACAGAGTTGTAGCCAGTGGGCCTTCTTTGGAAGGGGAGCAGTTGGAAGAGTCAAGGACCACCCTAGATGCCACGTTAGACAAAACTTGCATGAGCACAGTCATGAAGACTTCAGCAGTTAATTCAGTGCTACCCAAAAATGATGTTTTGGGTGGGGTCCTCAAAACAAAGAAACAGCTGAAGACACTTGGTCATTTTGATCTGGCTAATGGCATTCTGGTCGATAGCCTAGGAGAGGAGTCAATTCCTTCCTTGCGTAGGGGCCGGAAAAGACGTTGTAAGACCAAGCACTTGGAACAGAATGGTGTTAAGAAACTGCGACCACCCAGCAGTGACATGGGCCTGGCTCCCAAAGACCCAGGACTGCTTGAGGTGGGGCGGAAATGGCAGCAGGAGGATGCGGGCCCCATGGCTATCCAGTCACAGCGCATATTTGACAGTGAAAGGCGGACTGTGAGCCGGCGGAAAGGAAACATGGATCAGTATCTCTTACGGTCCAGCAGCCTGGCTGGAGCCAAGTAGCACTTACTGAACAATGTAATGTTACGGCTTCTCAGAGGCCTTGGCCTCAGTCATTTATCCAAAAGAACTAGCTGAATGGTCTCACTTTGAGTTTCTTTCGATGGCAAAACACTGTCTAATACGGTTCTGAGGGGCTTCAGGACCTTGGTAATCAAAGCCAAGGGTCTGTATCTTTGGCTCTCTAGGACCTGGGCCATGCTTCTCACCCCGAGTGAGCCAACTCTGAGGCTTCCAGGCCCTAATCTGGCAGCACCCACTTGGAATGAGATTGAGATTGGCCTCATTCATGAACGTGATGGCCAGAGTGAGAAATGGCAGGGAGAGAGTACCTTCTCACACTCGTGAGACCCCCCAGCTTCTTACGACAGAGTAGTGTTTAAGTCAGCCTTGCAGATAAAGATCCACTCTTCAGAGACAAGCAGTGCAGTGCTTGGGAAGATCCGAGATGAACAGAACAGGTGATCGTGTTCGTCTGTCTTCCCTCTGTGACTCTGCATACCTAAATCAGTTGAGCTTAGAACCTTTGCTTCTCCAGAAGTCAATTTGCATTCCCTGTTTAAACTATGACATTTGACTGATGCTGTGATTGACACCTGGTCTTCTTGGTGTCAGTTTGATGAAGCTGCAGTGCAGGTGTTGAGGTTCTCAGCTGCTGAGTGGTGTCGCCCAGGCTGACCACTGTGTCTCCTGGATTCTCCACAACCACAGGGTGCCTGAGGGCATGCATGCCAGGGCGGCCTAGGGACTGGCTGGGCACTGGGTGTGACAGTGCGAAGCCCCCTCGGAGCAGTTAACATTGCTGAGATGTAAACGGTAGAACTGCAGTGGCTAACCTACCCCGTTTATAGGCTCTGCTTCCCCAGGAGTCCTAGCCTGAGACAGCTATGAGGTTTTCTTACTACTTTCCACTTGACAATGGCTATCTGAAATTTTGGTCTAAAAATCATGAAAAACTTGCCCCAGAGTCAGGCAAAGGTCAATGCTGAGACTCCCATACTGTGGAAACAAGGTATCTAGCTGGATGCAGCTGGTTAAATTCAGTCCCATGGACCTTTGGGGTTTATTTTTCTTAGCAGCTGACACCATGTGTCTTTTGCATCCCTGGTGGTGCTTGGTGCTTCTGCCCTTCTGGGCTCAGTGAGAATAGGGATTCTGATAGGATTTTAGGGACTCTCAGGTGGGCTGGCGTTTCCTTTGTCTGTATGAGCTGTTACCGTAGTCATGTGACTGGCATTTTAACAACAGGATACTGCGTAGTTCTCCAGTGAGTTGCCTTTGATCAGAGAGTTTCTGAAACAAAGTGTAGAAATAGCTAGAGGATAACCCCTCCTCAGTGGCTGAGGGAGATTACCTGTAGTGCTGTTTCCTTGGGGCAGATGTCAGTTTTGGGGATTGTAGAAGAGAAAAACTCAGATTTGGAATTAGCCCAAAGGTGGTTGAAGCTCCGAGGGAGGGGAAGGAGCACATGGAGTCCCAAGAAAGCTGTCCCTTGGAGCAGACGGAGCTCTGGATGTGTGTGGCCATCACCGAGATAGGTGGCTTCAGAGAAGGCTGCTCTGGTGGAGAACTGAGAGTCCTGGGGTGTGGGTGTGTTTTTAAAACATGCAATAGTCTCATTACTTTATAGTCACACCACTTTACTTCTTGCCCTAGGTCACTTCAGGCTTTAGGGCTGCTAGAAGGCATGTTAATGCCCCAAATAGGAGGGCTGGCCCTGGTCTGCAGATACAAGGAAATTCCATTAGAGAAAATTTGGAAATTTTTGCCATTTCATATATTTCTTTTATGATCTTAGTAATTATTATTAGAAGGCTAGTCTTACTAAGAAGTAGCAAAGGCACTTATTTTTCCACATGTCACCCTTTTATATGCCATTGGCCATTAGAAAAACACTTTCAGTTGGAGTTAATTTTTGGTTTTGGGGAAAAGATAAAGTATTTTTAATAGATGAGAAATATATATATTTTAAATATCCCCTGCCCCTAGTTACTGCCTTGACTCTAAGAGTGTGCACAGCAGTGGTGACAAGCGTACCTGCAGGTGCGGTGCTGCTGCTGAGTGGGTACTGCGGATGCTGGGCTGGCCGGGGCCGTCCTGGTGTGCTGTGGACAGTGGTTCTTGAAGTCAAGGCAGAACAGTTTACACTGAGGAGGAAAGGCTTCCTTTTTAGTCCGCTTAGCTTCGACGGTGGGAAAACTACTGAAGCGCTGCATGCAAGGTGCTCTCGCATGTGGTCACCGAAGCCCCTCACAGCTACAGCTGTTGACTCGGGAGAGCTGGTGCACTAGAGGGAAGACACTTCACAACCCTCGTTCTGCCGTGCTCCTTCTGTATGTGCATTCCGCTTCTTTTGTTTTCTTACTAGAGGAAGAGGAGGGTGAGTCTTTCTAAGAGATGTGCCATTCCTCAAGAGGGTTGGTAGCCCTTCTCCAGAAAGGTAACCTTAGTGACATTCCTGAGTAGCTGACAGTACCTGTTGGGAGAAGTCATCTGGACCAGATGGATTGGTATCAAGTCAGGGATTATTCAACCAGCAACTGACCTCTGTCCCTTAGTTAACTCTTGTCTAGGAATTCTTTCCTAACTGACCTTATTTGTTAAAAGAAACAAAACAAAAAATCCAAAACTTTCTTTTGTGGGGAGAGTATACTGGTCATAAATGTCCCTTATTATTTTTTAAGGTAAAATGCCCCTCAGAGAGTAAAGCTATTTAATTATTGTCTGGTTACAAACTAGCCACTGACTAACATGGGCAGCTGCTGATTGAAGGTTGTGTTCATTCAGTAGGCGCTTTTGAGCTCTTAGACCACCCTACCCTGTGCTGGACCATAGGATAGTCCCCATCGGGAGGGGGCATGTCTAGTGCACTGTGCGTGCCCATGTGTTTGGCCAGAGAGTGTGTTAATGATCTCTGGACAGCCATTTCCTCTATAGCAGAGAGAGCTAGCACTTAGCCTGCCACCAGCAACATTTCCCACACCTTGTCAGTATTTATGAGCTGGTTAACTCTGCCTTTTCCCGCTCCCTAAGTAACTTTCCCAGGGAAGAGTGGATGTTCTGCAGTGATATAGAACAGTCACCCTGTTCAGAAGCTGCATTTACATCAAGTCCTAAGAAATGAGGCAGGTCTGGATCACTGGCAGGGCCAGAGAAGCCCATTCTTCATTTTAGTGATCTCCTAATGCATTCCCCAAGCTGACCTCTCACCAGAACCGGCAGTGACCTGGGGTTTCTTCTTCCTAGCTTGTCACTGAAGTGGAGAGCCATCAGGAGACGGTAGAGGCTAGCTCATCATCGTGGGATATTAAAGCTGGACCAGCCCCAGCCCCACTTTAAATGAAGACCCACTGTTCTGGTTTCTGCTGTAGTTCTTCTCTAGGGCAGAATAATAGTGAAAGTCACACAATTTGTGGATGAAGGGGACACCCAAGTGACAGAGGTTTTAGAACGGCTGTTTTGTTTCTTTCAATTAAGTTGTACCTATATCCCCTGAATATATCCATAATATACAGAGTACTTAATAGGGAAAACCCCATAGTGTGAACTAAGTAATAAGTGGAATTTTGTTGTAGTTATTTTAATTACAGCCTTTGCTGTTTCTTTCAGAATAAAATTCCTTAGGGTCTTACACCTTTCTTAGCCAGCCCTTTGCTCCTCAACCATAGGATGCTCCCTAGACTTAGCGTTTAGAGAGGATGGAACTGGTTAAAGTCTCATGACCCAGGAGGGTGCGAGGACTAGGCTGCTGCACACATTTTCTTTGATGACCCAGAAATGCACCTTTCACCATAGCATTCTGAAGACTGTTCTGTAGAAGACATGTAGGAAGGAACACACAGAGGTGTCAACTTAGTCAAAGTGGATGGTGGAAGAGGCACCAAACCCATGTGACCAGACTGCTCTGTGTCTGCCAGTTTTTCTTCTGAGGGGCCTCTTTTGTGTCCCCTTTGTGGCGTCTCAGGTCCAGAAGGAGTTAGACAAAGCCATGCTAAGATCAGGTTCGCTCCTCTCCCTTCCCCACCACCAAGTGTGAGCAAAAGACAGTGCAGGCTTCAGTGTCGAGCTGTGCAGGGTGTACCTTCTGGTGCCAGATTCCTGTAGCAGGCGTCAGTTCTTCCTAGCTGGCACTTGCCCTCCAAGCTGAGATTCCAGTTTGCATCAGACATGACCATCATCCCTAAGCTCCAGCAAAGCAAGAAACAGATACTATGCAAGACAAGTGGGTGTTCTTATTCTCCCTTCTCCCCCCCCCCCCTGCACCTGATACACTGTTTACTCTTAGCTGTACAGACATAGTTGTCTTAAGAGCCAAGTACCAAACCTTTCCACCTAGAAATATAAAATGGTTGTCTGTTTGGTTTTAGGCAACCTGCTATAGCTCCTTGTGGTCTGGTGGTTGTGACTTACTCAACCTGTTTACATTAGGATCGGAGAAGGGGCCCTGCATCCTGGTGGACTGCCACTGCTGTCTGTAACCCCTTGACTCATAAAGAGCCTTTTGACAGAGGACTTGGGACAAGGTATGCCCTGTCAGGGATGCTTTTCGCCACAGTGAAATGGTGTGGAATTGAGTGGGAGGTTGTACGACTAAAACAGAACCAAAGTGCATTCTTCATGTGTATGTGCCTGTTCCAGGCGAGGCCCAGGTTGGAAATGCAGTAAAGCAGACTTATGAAAGCAAACAGTCTACTTCTGGTTAGTCTCGAGAGACCTGCGTCTGACAGTGTGGACTAAGCTCAAGGCAGGTGTTTGGGTGCTCTCCTGGGGCAGGGAGGTACCTGGGATGGAAAGGCACTGGGGTGCGGTCTCCACAAGGAATAAATATACCTTTTGATGTATTCTAATGGACAGTATTTAGTTTCCTGACCTCTTGTGACCATCCCGACTTCTCTGAAGACACAGTTGGCATAAAGTGACTTGTGGGATGCCACCGTCCTTGCCCCTTACAGCTGTACTTAGAAATACGATTGTTAAACATATTCTTCTTTGGAACCATTGCTTAGAAAGTCATAAAAAAAAAAATACCTTTGACATGAGTTTTTCACTGAACATAGAACAAATGTTAACCTGTTTCTCTTAAACTCAGAAAACGAACCTGGAAGACTCTGCAAGCCCATGTGGGACCTTCGAAGACCTTCGGCCCAAGGCCTTCAAGGGAGATTTGAAAAGCCAGCGGAGATTTGAAAACAGTACTCGGTCCCTATAGTAGCAAGACGCTCAACACACTGTTAATTCCCCTGTAACTAGGTATGGTGGGTGTCCTCCTTTACAGATGGGAACTCCAGCCCTGGCAGTGCAGAGCCTACGTGCTGGGCCCTCTGACCCCAAAGCTGCTGGTTACCTCTTGTACTGCTGTAGCCTCAGCTAACCTTGCAGTGCAAACCTCTACCACTGGCCTTGGAGAACAGTATGGCTCTAGTTGCTGTCTGGACTGGAACTGGTTGGGCAGGTGACAGGTGTGAGCATAGTCTGCTTCTCCATCTGTGGGTTCTGATTGCTCACTAGCGTTCCAGGTGACTAGACAATTCAGTTTGAGTTTGTGGAGACAGCAGATCGGGAGTTCAAGGATATCCTGGGCTACATGAAATTCTGTCAGAAAATACAAGAAAAAAAATGAAAACCATGAGTAGTACCAGAGCTGGGGTACAACATAGTGGTTTCCTGCTGAGGTTCAGTCAACATTTTGTTACATGTATGGAAAAGGGGGCTCATGCTTGAACTTGCTCTCTATGAAAGTGGCCTCTGGGGTAAGAGGCCAAAGTAAGGAACTCAGAATGATCAGAAACTGAGCAAGGAGAGGTAACCAGCTTGTTCAAGGGAGAGGTGGTGGTGCTTGGCCCAGACAAGTGTGCCCTCTTTGGAATGCCCTCACACTGGTTAAGGGGCTGCCATGGGGGTACAGAGAGCAGACCTGGAACTGAGGGACATAGGCAGTCAGGCTACATAGTCCATTGTAGCATAACCATTAAAACTGCCATCCTTCAGAGTCAGCTCTGTTCCTGGGGAGACTGAAGAAGCTAGGTTGGAACAGAGTGTGAGTGTAGGTAAGCAGGTAGTAGGTCCATTCTTGAGAATATGTGGCAATAACACATCTGGCGAAGGGAGCAGTCTAGGAGTGTCACTGTCAGGGTGGCTTCTCCTAACAACAAAGATGGACACTTAGAAACTCCTGAAAGTCCAGTCTAGCAAGCCAAGCACAAATGCCCTGAATGTGGCTGCTGCTGTGGGTCCCTGCATTACCTGTATCTGTCAGACGTCCAAATGAGCTAACTACTTTGTCACCTGGTGTGGCCTGCATAGTAAGGTACATGCACATGGGCATATGACTATGATCGCAGCTTAGGGTAAGCACTTTAGCTATTTGCATGCCTGTGAAGTTGAGTTCAATAATGTGTAAATGGTTGTGATTTGGATTTGGGGTATCTACCTTGCCGAAGGCCAAGAAGCATTCTTTGATCCTGGGGACTGCAGCTCTGTCTGATGCCCCAATCTGAAGTAGCCATCCTTAGGAGAGAAGTCTTAGGTCCCACACAGCATAGCCCTGCTGGACTTCTCCAGACCTTCCTGGGTTAGGTGCTGCCTACTGGGCACACACCAAGAATGCAGCAACCCCAGCCCAGGTTCCCACCCAGCCCAGATGTTTGTATTCCTGTCTTCAGCTTGTGTCCTGGATTATGGGACCCTGGGAAACTAGCCCCTTCCCCTTCTACCAGCCATTATCTCAAAAGGGACCATTCCATCATCTTTCACCCTCACAATGGAGAAAAGCTTCCTCACGGGAAATCTGTCTGCCTGGCCTGGGTCCTCTGCTTTGGTACCCTGCCTCTTGCTGGCTACAGCCCACTTAACTTCTGAGCTTTCTGTGCTACTTCTGTCTCAGCACTTATTGAAGCTGTCACGAGCGACTCGGGTGGGTTTCTCATAGCCCTCTGGGATGCAGGAATCAGTGGAGATTTTTCCTTAGTGACACCACCACTGTGGCCCTGACCTGGCTTCCAAGAATACTTGGTACCCACTGTATTGCTCTATGCATCACTCTTTATTGCTGCTGGGCCAGCCACCAGGTGTAGCCTGGCCGGGCTCGGAGGCGAGGTCCTGCCGAATTCCACATGCTGACCACGGAGCGAGATGGAGCCCAAGCCCTCTCTGTTTAGGGCAGGGCACGGTCCAGGGCACAGAGCCCCTAGGGAGGGCGGTGTGTAGCTCTACTCTTTCGAGTCGCTGGCCGTGGGCTCCTGGCAGAACTCGTCCATGAACTCGAGGAAGTGGCCCAACTTGGGCTGGCCTGCACTCAGCGCGCGACTGGTGGGCGGCCTGGGCGGCGGGCTGGCGGTGAACACAGTCCGCAGCGAGCTGCGCACCAGCTGCCTGTAGCGCGCGCGGAACTCCTTTAGCAGCCGCTTGGCCTCTCGGTACTGCTTCTGGTTCACCAGGCGCTGCTGTGCGCGCCGCTGCAGCACCGCGCCTGCAGGGACAAGAGTGGACAGGGCCAGGCTCGCCGGTTCCTCAGGCCCAGAGACACACAAAGTATGTTGGTATGTGGAGGCAGTACGGCCCCGACAGTGGGAAGTCATGCCTTAGTTCAAAACCCGAAGGTGCCCGGTGACATGGGAGCCTCCTGCCTGTCCTGCATACACTGTAAAGGGCTTGGGAAATCCCACTTTCCACATACATCCTCCCCTGCTTTCCGTGCTCCCTCCTAGTTTCGTACCAGCCCTCCCTAGTAGACACCAGCCTTGATGGGACAGTGGCACCATACCCAGTGGAGCTTCAGTGACGTTCCGAGGGTCCCGCATGCGAATGAGAATGTCATCCAGCAGCTGCGCTTTGGTCTTCCGTGGGGGTGGTATTGGTATCCTCGCAGCCTGGCACAAGGTAAGGAGGTCTGTCATGTCATGCACTCATAGCGACAGGCAGGGGGCAGTAGGGAGTGCTGGGAAACGGGCCTCAAGGTCCCAAGGTGGAGACCTCAAAACTCAGGAGCACAATCAGAGGCTGAGGTGCTTACCCGCTTCTCTTTGGGTATGTAGGGTTTCTGGAAAGTGACCAGCCTGGGCTTGGAGGAACGGCAGACAAGCGGCTGCTTCAGCATGCGGTGCAGGGCCTGCGCATTCTTCTGGATGCCTAGCAGAGAAGGCAGAAACAGGTGTCGTCCCCGTTTCCCAGCTCAGTGCTGGGAAGAGAACTGCAGAGCCCAAGAAAGCCATTTACCAGGGCTTTCTGATCTGCGGCCTCCCCCTACCCCCACCCCAATGCTTCACCATTCATTGTGAGAAATGTCCCTGTGAGCTCAGAGCCTGAAGTGGGAAGACTTTGGGCCTCACAGTGATTCGGTAAACTCGGGGGTCACATGATAGGAGAGACTCCCAGGAGACTGGCTCCCAGCAGGCTCTTTGGGAGGCACAGATACTGTTGTCACATCAGAGTAAATAGAACCATAGATGAGAGGGCATTGCCTCTGCTGCCCCAACCAGGTGGGGAGGGTTTGGGATGGTCTTCTGGGCCTCTGTTAACAGAGGCTGGTGAGAACTCAGGAACCTGGCTTTGTTTGCTCATTAACCCTTCTCTATGAGCAATTTTCCACCCAGGCTGACTGGGCTAATCCAGGCAGTCTTTGAAAAAAATCCATGACCCAAAGCAGTGAAGGTTCAGCAAAGGGCAGTGTGATGCTGCCATGTACTAAGAACCCCCTGGCAGACATTCACATGGAGTCAGCATCAGCCTTGGCCTGGCGTGGCCTGCTCTGGGCTGAGAGGACGTCCCTAGCCCTGACATACCCTTTGGCTCCACAAAGGTAGGATCAGGCTTGGCCGTGAGCAGCTCCTCATAGCCATCATACTTGTTGGACACAGGGGCAGATGGCTGCTTCCGCCGGGTCCTCTTTGCCTCTCTGGGTGCAGTTAGTGGTCTCTTTTGGGCATTCTCCTTCGCCTCTAACTTTTCCCTGTGGACGGTGGAGGATGGCAGTTCATTCACCTGTGCCAGGAAGAAAACACACTCACTTGTTTCCTGCCCAATCCCAACATGGGCTCTGCACAGCTCACGTGTTGGGCCCTCATAAGGGAGAGCTGAGGCATGAAGGAGGCTGAAAGAATAGGTGGTGTGTGCAAACAAGGAGCAGGCCTGGGCTCCCAGCCATGACAAAGGGCAGTGGCTGCAGCAGTCAAAGAGCAGTGCACCTGCCGGGCGATGGTGGCGCACGCCTTTAATCCCAGCACTCGGGAGGCAGAGGCAGGCGGATCTCTGTGAGTTCGAGACCAGCCTGGTCTACAGAGCTAGTTCCAGGACAGGCTCCAAAGCCACAGAGAAACCCTGTCTCAAAAAAAAAAAAAAAAAAAAGAGCAGCGCACCTGACAAGTGGCCTGGTGCTGAGCAAGGCCCGGGAAGGACCGTCGAATGCCACGCTCAGGGCGCTTGTTTTATATTCTTATTCTCACTTTGAGAATAAGCCAGGAACACTGTGACTACCCAAATAGTTTTTATACAGTACAGGACGCCCTACCCATGTAGGGATGTTTCGGGGGACCCTGCCAGTTCTTCTAGCCTTATGGAGGTTGAACAATCTTTACATGAAATGCCCGGGAGAAGAAGAACGTTTATATTTTAGACTATTTACATGACAAGATGAGATGCCTTGGCACGAGACCCAAGTCTACATGTAAAATTTGTTGATGTTTTGTGTAGATTTTAAATACATAGCCCTAAGGTAATTTCATATATCTGCAGTGATTTTATGCATGAAACAAAAATTTCATGGTGTGAAATTTTCCTCTTGTGGATATGTTGGCACATAAAAAATTCAGAATTATCTGGGATTTGAGTCATTCACATTGGGGATTTCCTTTCTCTACACCAGTGGTTCTCAACCTCTTCCTAATACTACAACCCCTTTAATACAATTCCTTGTGTTGTGGTTACCCCCAAGCATAAAATTGTTTTTGTAGCTACTTAGTATAATTTTGCTACTTATGAATTATAAGTATGTAAACATCTGTGTTTTCTGATGGTCTTAGGTGACCCATGTGAAAGGGTTGTTTGACCCCAAACGGGTCATGACCCACTGGATATTCATGGTTCCATTTGCATTTCTTCCCCTGCACCACACTTCCTGTTCTCTTTGCCCATATCTCTACCTTGTTAGCGTTTCCATGGCCCTCCTGGTTTGGAACAGAGGCATCCTTCCTCAGGCCTGGTTCCTGAGTTCCCCCAGTCTCAGCACAGATGGCAAGTTCTGTTCCTCTCAGCTTTCCTTTTAGACCATAAGCACCTCGAAGATGGTACCTGTATCTGAGCCACCTTTGTTCCCAGGACCCAGGGCAGCATGGGAAGGGAGGTAACTTTAGCAAAGGTACAGTAGTGACAAGCCTCTGCCAACTGGCCAGCACCACATCCCAGGGAGATCCGAGGTGCTGTCTGTGCCACAGGGCTACTAGTGTCCTGTGAAGCCCCTGACCAGAGAGTGCAGTGCAGGTGGCTCGGTGCAGGAACCTGTGGGCACTGCAGCCAGAGGTGGAGGCAGCTGGGGACAAGCACCTGAGTCAGGAAGATGGACTCCGTACTCTTGGCATCATCATCATCTGATGGGTGGTCTGGGCTCAAGAGACCAGCTGTACGGCTTGGATGGGACACGGCCTCACTGTGTACGGTGGAGTTGGAGCAGATGGGAGGCATTGGCACAAAGGTCCGGTGAGTTAGGGAAGGGCCTTCTGGGCCCTCAGTAGCCAGCAGTGCCTCATGAGAGGTGTTTTCGGTGGAGGGAAGTTCCTCAGCTCTCAGTTCTGGCTCCTGCATAAAACTTGAGGGAGGCTTGTCTGTGGTCATGCTCAGGTGATGGGGGACCAGAGAATGCCTTGGCACTTTGGGGACGTGGGTTTTCACCTGAATGAGAGAAAGGCTGGATTAGATTGGCTCTCTAGATGAGCTGCATGGTGAGAGTGGAGTCTGGGGAGGCAGGAGGGCCACATGTGCCCTACCCAGAGGACACAGCGTCACTGTATACCACCATGGTAGCTTAGTGAGGAGGGCTCTTGCTGCCAGCCTGGAAGGTGAGAAATGGCTCCCACAAGTTGGCTTCTGTTGCTCACGTGAGAATCTTATAAAGTACCTAGGAACAACTGGCCTCTTTCCCAGGTACTTGTCCTGGGCTCTAGGCCTCACAGGTCAGTGCCACTCTGTAGGGTTTAACAGATACCTCCCACTCTCCCTCAGGGATTTCTACAGGGATGGGGTGGCTGTTTCCCTAAACCGTGTTTCTCAGGAGCTGTGGAATTACTTAGCTGGCAGGGCCAGTTACCATCTTTCCTGCACTGTCTTCCTGTGTGGGGGAGGGGGGAGCGGGAAGAGGGAGGAGGCTGTCCGTGCCTTGTTGTCTAGGTTTACAGACTGACTACTGGGCACTGTACTTAGGAGCACGTGGATTCCTTGTGAACAGGGCAGACCACTCCCCACCCCTTCCCTCTCCCACAGGGTGAACTGATGGTCTTCATTCCTGCCTCACTGGGGGCTGACCCCCTGCCCTGGGGGCTAGGCTGGTGTAGCTGCCTCTTGTGTGCTCACAGGAAAAGCTCTTTAGTTTTCCTCCTGCCCATGCCTTTGTCCAGGGAGTCGAGGAGAAAAGTCCTAGGACTGGCCTGCATGTGTAGCTCCCCCTCTTGGCACACTGCAGACAGGCTGCTGTCAGGCCTAAGCCATGTTCTGGGGCCAAGTGCTGTGTGTGCCTAGATGTACCCCAGTGCTTTGTTGTTCACAAGCTGATACTCAGATTACTCAGAACCTTAAACAGGAGGAAGGGCGAGGGACACCCTGAACCCAACACTAACTTGTATCTCGTGAGCTGGTGCACCTCTCTGAGCCTGTTTTCTTGGGAGAAGAGGACAGAGGTGTGAGTGCCCCGTGGAGTACCAGCCATGGACAATGTAAGAGAAAGGCATGTACCCAGCATTAAGCTCACTAGCATCCTCCCCCCCGCCCCAGATGGTAGATGCACAGGGAGGTGGTAGATCCTCAGAGCATGCCACAGAAACCCTAAGAATGTCGTCTATTTCTGGCTTTAACCCTTGCTCTGCTCCTCTGGGGGCTTAAGAGCTTCATTAACTGAAGCAGCTACAGATGAGGTGGCAAGGGACAGATGTGCCTGTTAGGAGACAGGCACTCTTCACAGATTTCCTGAAACTCCTTTAGATCAAGGATGTTAATTACCAATTCAAGGTCCCCAGAGGTGAATCTAAGAGCCCACTCGGAGTGAGAGAATCCAGCCTGCCTATGATGGGCTGTGTATCTAGTTCTGGCCACCCAGACACCCAGAGCTGTCGCGCACACCAGGGCCTTGTGTGACTAAGGTCAGTGTAGCTTCATGGCTCCTTCATCTGCCCTTTAAACAGCTCTGTGAGGTCCAGAGCCGAGACACCAGCCACTCAGATCAAAATCCAGTCAAGTTCAGACAGCTGTAGTGAGGGGTCCTAACTTCAAGGCTAATTTCTCCCCCACTTCTTCTCTAGCCCTAGTTTTTCTATAAAATTAGGGGATCACTGACTTAGTGACATCCAAGGCTCTTCATTCTCCCTCTTCCTCTTGAGGACTCTCCGTCTTATCACCCCTGCCTCTAGCTCTGTCTAACAAGAAAGGAAGGAACAGGAGTCAATGGAGAGAGAGGTTCCAGGTTCGGCTGGGGAGGGGTGTTCTCATGCCCAAGCCAGTGCGCATGTTAAAACAGGCTCCACTTCCCTGGGTCAGGGTCCTGTTGGAAGACTTACCTTTCGTGATTCCTTCCGAGGCATCAGAATATGGTGTTTAGCTTTTACCAGTTTCCTCCGCACTAAGCGGATGCCCAGACGCTCCTGGAGGAAGCTCTTTAGCAGTGGTGGGATCCCTGGTGTTGTGGAGGAAAACAAGATGATTGACAATTGGCTGTGTGTTTGGCACTGTTCATATTACTTTGTATGTGTTAATGTAATTGTACTTCTCTTTTCAACCCTAGTTATTCCTAGTCCATAAGCAAGGAAAGTGACACCCAGAGGCTAAGCTGACAAAGTGTAGCAAGGTGTCCCAACAGACCCAGGGCTAGGGCAGACTCTGGCTGGTAGATGGCCAGAAGATGGTGGGCACTACAGCAGAACTGCATTCAGAATGCTGGCAAAGCTAGCCCTGCAGCTGTGCCAACCCC